TCCTGAGTTTGGGAACTTCTATCCAAGGGCAGAGTTGACAAAATTACTGATGGAAACAGTCCTCAGTTCCCCCAGAAAGTAGAGGGAATCTTTTTTTTTTAAATGGCTGCGAGGAGACTCGGGAACTTTTTAGGGGTGAGTTTGTTTTGCGGGAATAAATAAAAATGTAATTGGCTGACACACCGAAAATCTAAAAGAAATAGAAAGACTAGGGTCAAGACAATAATTGATTTTGGTTTAAGATACTCCAGCATTGTCGGCACGCTAGTTATTGAGCCCCGAATTTTGTTGATTGTACACTATTTTCAATGGGGCTTGAATTCGTTTACTGCCGGCACCCACCAACGAACGGAACTCACTGTTCGTGGACTTCAACACATCAACTTGAAACAATACATGTAAATCTGACCCGGTCATCAGCATCAGCGCAAACCGCCGATTCAGGCGTGGATGCTTTGCATTCTTGGAATGTCAGATGATTCCGTGCCTGCCGGCGGGGAGGGGGTGTAACCTTTCCTTTATCCGTGGTCCGGTAGGTCAACACCCGTTCGCACCGTCAGTCAGAGGACATTGGCCCGGCCCGCCAACTGCTCCGGCACGCGCCTGACGAAAACACCCGCTGTCCAACACTGCGCTTGTGGATTTTACAACTGAAAGGCAAATTAAAATGGAGAGAAAAGGCCGAATGTTATATTCGGCACCTCCAAAGAGCGTCATGCTGTGTATAAGCGTCGTAAAATGTAAGAGTTGCCGAGAAGAGAGGGACTTATTTTCTTGTAGTATGAGAAATTATAATGCATTGTTAATCCTAGCTATGGCGGATTAAGTAGGCCTAAATGTGGAAATAATAAAGATTTTTTTTTGATTACGTGCTTGGAATTATCCAACCCATATACTCACGGATACCCACCTAATTAACAAAGACGAATAAATGAAAGCTAGAGAATTATTAAAATCATTATTTGCGACCTTGCAAATTTGAGTTAATGATGGGACTTTGATTGGACATTCAGCCTCTTGATCACTGTTTTTCTAATAAGAGTGGGCTTCTCATACTATCCTGACCGAAAAAAAATCATGTGATACTGTCATCCAATTGATATTAGCTCGGACTAAAACGACATTCGTCGGGGGTGTGCTATAAAGTGGACCCTTATAAGTTACGCCTAACGTTTGCATGCTACATATCATAAAATCGCAAATCTTCAGGACCATAAAATGAATGGTTTTGTTCTCGAGTTTACTTTTTGTCATCTACAATCTATATTTAATGTGTTTGAATTCAATGGTTAACTGAGCAAAATTACCCCCAACAAATAAGGACATAAAACGGTAACGTATATTTTTGCTGCTGGATACAAGGACAGGTTTTCACGACCCGCACTCCGGTCATTGTAATATTGTATATCATCCTCCTCGTCCCCGAGGTCCTGCTGTTGCCTTAGTAGAAGGTGAGGGAGATTTACGTCTTGAATGTTTCATGACTCCGGATGTTTGAGGCTCACCGAGCTTCAATCTGCAGTAGAGGGCCGGTCGGGCCGGGCCTGGGCGGGCGATAAAAGAAGCAGACGGCGACAACACTTCGAATGCTGTAAAATTGATGACGTGCCGGAAATTTATAGGCAGTGGACTCGGAAGGCACACAGCGGATTCGGCTTATGAATTATCGAAACGATGTGAATATGGAGTGTGCTTATTAAAAGACGAGTTGCAGTCAGACCACACCCAGTTTTTCTTGTCCGATTTCTTGCCTTTCATTTGCTCATTTTCTTTTCATAGCTCTGACATAATACGAGGGTATTATTCCGAATTCAAGACAGCTAGCTAACTGAAACCCTATCGATGATTTATTAGGTAATTTTTTTTGTCTTTTTCCTTTTACTTGCTTTTTTTCCCACAAGTTTTGATTTTGCTTACTGTGTTTTGCCGCCAATGCGCACTTACAAAATTCACACCTTTTCAATTTCAAATTGGATTAGATATTAACAGCTTGTGTGCATTTTGTGTGTGCAGACTCCCGGGTCAAATTGACCCAGAATTGGGTCCCATTCGGCATGACCCTTTTCCGGGTCAAATTATGGCCCAGAAAGGGTCAAATATTACCCATTCCGGGTCAAATATGACCTGAAAGGGGGTCATATTTTGACCCAGAAAAGGGTCACGCCGAATTGGACCCAATTCTGGGTCCATCCGACCCGGGGAGTTTTTAGAGTGTCCATAAGTACATTCGTTACTGCCCTGAGTAGGCTCTGCTGTTCCCTTTAACGCTTCATTCTTTACAGTGTGTGAAGACAGCCTTTGATGTTGACGTATTAGTAGGCAAGTCACATATCGAGGGTGCTCTGTTAAAATCACACTTGATTTGAAAACCTTCTGAAAGACTTTGAAAGTGTGAATAAAACATGAGATAAGCCTGCGTATTCAAGCTCTGTTAACAGTTTAAAAAAACAACATCCAAAAACAAAAAACAGGTGGAAAATATTAAAACGATAAAACAAAGCTTGTCATGCTGGAAACCAGTGGGAATCATTTGGTGAAACAGCAACTGTTGGAAAGGCGTGCTTTAAATTTATTTCAAAAGTGCGCATAAAAATGGTAAAATTGTGAAGGAATTTATTTTTACGGTATTGTCAGTACAAACGCTGCCACTGCAATCTGACTCCCGTATGTTTGTCGAAGAAAGGGGAAGAGTCCGGATCAATAATGATAACGATATGGAAATTTAAGGAGAAATATAAGCAGTACAATATAGTCCCCAACTTGAAGCACGCGCTGTAAGTCACGACTAAACGCGGCATTTTTTTTTTTGCGAACACAAGGCAACGGAAATGGCAGGTTTACCAAGATAACAAAATCCGATAGGGCAGACCCAGCCCTCTCTGCCCAAACAGAACCGTCAATATTTCTTTTCGGGGTGCTTTCTTTAGAAGGTGAAACTGTGGGAGAGAGGGATCAATATGAAGCACTCGCTCTAGAAATTCAAGAATTACAGTGACATTATGGATAGGCCTATTTGATTATCTATAAAGAACAAATCCAAACAAGTGCTTTCATGAAATTCGGTTTCTATTTTCGAGTACAATAAGAATATTGGCATTGAAGAAATGCAAATACTCAAAGCCAAGATTTTTAAAACAATTGAAAGCCATGAATCACTGGGGCAAATCGACATCAACAAATGCCATATTGAATTTTTTTACAACTTCCTCTCCATGAAAAGCGAAATTTGCATGGACCTTAAAACATGAGAAATTCATGGAACAATCTAAAAGATATTCAGTGAGGTGTATTGAACCAAATTAAGTGGGAACTCCGCGCTAAATCACAGCTACCCTGGGCAATAACGGCAGTTACTGTCATTTACAAGACGCTCTCAGTGCCACCTTAAAAACCATGGATATTCTACCGACATATGCAATCCTCGGTGTGATATATTGAACTTCCACACAATATTTCGTGCCCGGTGTGTGTTGATCCATTGCCTTCAGTGAAAGGTGACAATGAATCCCGTTTATTGCCTTGCTTTACGGAGCACTTCCATGACCCGAATATCGAGGTGAGATACCGGTGTCACTCCGTGTAAATCATTTCATCCGATGGGCGTGGCTGCAATATTCTGTCTCAGGAAGCAAGCATGTATTTTCACTTGTCCGTTTTTAGTGCCCTCCAACCGGCATAAAACTATCTTGGTGCCCCTCGCAATCCTTGCAAAGCACCGTGTTCGGGGTCCCCTGAAGTACCATAAAAGTCAACAGCACACCAGATTTCCGTCCTTTAGGAAAGCATTGAGGAGTATTTATTTCGTCAGGGCTCTCGTAATTTGAGCCGTAAAAAGATATCTTTAATTGCCCTGGTGAGACTGGTTTCGAATCACAGGCCGTGTCTAGAGTACCGAAGTGTAACATCATTTAAACCAGGAAGTGTAGGCCAGAAAAGGGGTGTATACGCGCGTTGGTTCATGCGCTGGTTCTTGCGTTGATGCTTTTTTGCACATGGTGCGCGTGACACTATCCCTTCCCGCCATTACTGACGGCAATCTTACCTCTTCAGAAGGGCTAGTTCGATCAACGACAAATTGCCAACCAATGGTTGATTCTGACTGGTAACCTAATGCATGAAATATGTAATGGGCACCAGGCAAAAACCGACCAGTGGTGAACAAACTGTCGCTGATAGAACTTGCCCTTAGCTGTCTTGGCTCTGTCTATGGCAAAGTGTTCTGTAGGTGTGATTGGTTAGTTACATAGAAAGGAAAGCGCGTGCTGACCAGGAGTTTTGTCGCTTTTCTTGAAAAATACTAACTGTAGAGCGATACTTTCAAAAGTTATTTGTGGCTTATCTATAGCACTAAATACTCGTGTTCTTTCGAATCTACAGATGTAAAAAAAGAGACGGGGGTATTTCCTTTTGAACATACCGGCATTGTTTGTTTCCCTAAGATTGTGCTTAATTTTGTAGCAGACCCCCTTTTTTGTAGACCTGGACTTTTTTTAACTGACAAAGAGATTTAAAAAATGTTTGATTATTTTTTTCAGCTAACGTGTGACGGTCAATTGGCGGCGCTGTTGAAGCGAGTCTTCGCCCCAAACTTCTCACAAGCTCAATTCAGTTTCTCAAGCTGCCAGGCCTTGGTGGGACTGAACGTCAGCGCAGCGCAGGTAAAAAACAGTCCGGACCCGCGTTGCCCTCGGCCGCCGCTAAAAACCGCACGCTTCATTACGCTCCGCCGACTAAATCGATGTTGACTGTCATCTTTACTGACGTGAAATTAAATAAGGGGAATTCTCGTGGCGCGCTGCCTTCGCCTGGCCGTGCATGCGGTGTTTGTGTACGCACGCATGCCGGGTAGCGACGATTGGAGATGCTGACGTTAAGTGAGAGAGAGGGAGTGATACGTACACGGGCTACTGCTGAGAACATGTTGAGCGACCGGTTACGAGGTTTTATCCGTGATGTCATCGCGCAGCACGATTGGCTGAGTAGATTCTGGCTGCGCGCCTGCGCGCACAAGGGCAAGGCGCACTACGACGGTTCACCGTATTAACGCCGGACCACAGTTCTCTTTGTGCATTCCATCCAGGAAGCGAAAGAGCTCAATCCGAGAGGACGCACTGTTTTACCGACTTCGACAGTTTCGAATTCCTTTCGTGGTTTGGGCATTGTGCATTTCTGTTGTGGGAACTACCGTGATAATTTGCTGCGTGGAGATCCTTCCAGTTTGCTCCTCGAGTGGAGAAGCGAGTCGAGACTTTCGTTGGATTTGATCGACATCGTGAAGGGGTTTGGACGAGCGCAAATTAATCGAAACTTCGGACGAAACTGCAACTCTTGAACTCTCAGGCGAGCTTGTAGGTGATTTCTACCTTTTGGCTGAGTTTTCACCAGATTCTGACACACCCCCTGAAACGTCAAGGGCCATCTTGTGAATCAATCGCAATTCATCGATGACGGTGCGGTTTATAACCGAACTGGAAATCGATTCGGCAAATAAAATATCAGGCCCACCGATCCAACACAAGCATGTGGTGCTAAATGACAGCAGTACGTCTGTTTGCTTAGTAGCAGCTTGCGCAGGCAGACATTGAAATAATAATACTCATTCCCGATACGAGTGGTATTTTTTTCAATAGCGAAGTAGACTTTGTTTGATTTTTATCACTGGGCACGAAATTGTGGAGTAAACCGCGAGCGAGTTTATTTACAGAAAGGGCAGTTTACCAAAGTTCAGCTGAGTAGCACGACTACATGACCGGTAGTGCATTTAGCACGTAGCGCCCGGGTTCAGCTTGTACGAGAACTGCGTTGGTAACACCATTATGTAGCCATCAACGGCTACGCTGGATAACGGACTTTTGGCAATCGGTGCTCCCTCTGTGTTTTCGCGTCGACAGCGGAATTTCAGCACCTCTCTCTCTATCCCGCTAAGACAAACAGTTTCTCGTGATTTAGCTGGGGGCACGTCAGGTCAACGAGTTGGTTCCAGAGGGAGAGAAAGACAGCGACATACGCATGTTGTGTAGCCTTCCACCCTATTTGTGCAGAATTCCAACATCACAGGGTCGAAAGAAGGTAAAGTCAACAATGCGTTGATGTGCAGCCTGTGAATATACGAGTGAGTTTGCTGGTAGTCATCTTGGTTTCACGCTGTGGCTGTAGCTGAACTGCTCGCTTTCAAATGGAGGTGGGCCTACCTTTAAGACGGAAATGCCAGGATCCTGCAGTGTGATGCACCTGTGACTGTATTAGCATAACAGGTGGCACAAGCATTCACATGAATATTGAGTGGTCACATTTTGCGCGGAGAGTCAATCTTGTTGGGTGGCGAATCGCGCAGTTGCTGGCGTAGGTAGTGGTGAATACATGCGTCCTGTGCACACAAGTTTGCTTTAGCAGAGAGTTCCATCTGCACCATCGTGGAAGGATTGCTCGTCTTGCATTCACGCCGTTTCGAATGTACTCACATCTTGCCTTCTAGCAAATCTGGGCATCTTTATGAATACCAAATCTCCTAACTGTGAGCGTTGATAAGCATTCCTCAAACCATGGAACTCCTCACGAACAGGTTTCTTGTACTGCTCTGTCTGGGTGCTTCCGTCCAGTGCACCAGCGCGGAGGACAACACCAGTGCCAGCAATGTGGAGTATATTCACGTGACGGGCCTGTTCCCCCTCTCCAGGAAGGAAGGGGAAATCGGCCGTGGGGTCTTGCCGGCGGTGAAGCTGGCTCTCCAGCACGTGAACGACAGCGACAAGGTCTTGAGAGGCTACGAGCTCAAGACCATCGACATCGACACGGAGGTAAGTGCCCTGGTGTTTGTCAGTCATCTTTGCGAATGCTGAACTGTTGGAAATCGAGTGGATTCCAACATACCAGCATAAAGGGCCAAAAGAAGCAATTAGACAGTCGAGTGTCGCCTCAGATGTTTTCTCTGGTTAAAGTCCAGATCCGGAGCTCATTCTCTGCGGAGTCAAAATGAAGTGATCTCAGCTAATCGCGGAAAAACTTCCCAGTACTTGATATAGTGCATATGGACAAGAATAAAATATAAAATCAATGCTCTGAAACGTGTTATTGCCGAGCTTTCGATAACTGAAAGTACTCAGTTACCGAAAGCTCGGCAATTACATGTTTCAGAGCACTGATTTCATATTATAATTCTTGTCAATATGCACTATATCAAGTATTGGGAAGTTTTTCCGCGATTAGCTGAGATCACTTCATTTTGACTCAGCAGAGAATGAGCTACGCAGCCCTTCCATATTTCTCTCGATACAGTGTATGTTTGGCGCGAATTGGTCAATGCTGTATGCAATCTTCAACTTGACTTCCCGTTTTGAAAACAATCCTCTACAACCGCGACTTAAACAGGAATGGTTTGGATGATAAATCACGCATTAAGACTGACAGATCGCACATAGATTGAGCAATTGCTCCAATATGAGCAAATCACATTTTAAGTTACAAATATTGTTTGACAAGCTCAATTCTTTTGACTTTGAAAATACTGAAACATGCATCTATTACAATGCACTATTCCAAGCAATGGTGGACGTTGGCGTTATACCAGCATAAATCCACAGTGGAGTCATATGTTAAGCATTCAGCAAATTGCCTAATTATTGCTGTTTGATATGAGTGAGTGGTGACATCTTCGCTGTCCGTGGAATACTCTCTTTACTGAGGAATGAGAGGGATATCTGTTGGATGAGGCATTTGGCATTCACACGCTGAATACTTTTTATTCCAAAGATGGAGAATTATAGCGCATGTTCTGCCCGTGCTCTGTTTGTATGTGCGTGTTAAATCGAAATACTCCTAGCTTCCAATCTTACCGATGGATTCAATGTTCAGTTCAGTTGTGGCTTCTTAAGTCCATATCCTAATCATATTTTGTTTTGTTTTTTTATGCTTTTTTTCTTTGGGAGGGGGGTCTACAAGAATGTAAGAACAGCTAGATTTTCATTTCCGACTTGAATGTTTTCTTCATCTGGCGAACATTTTGGCACTTCGAGAATATGCCGTCTCATAAATATGAAAACCAGACAAGCTTGAAGTTTACGAAACAACCTGACTAAACGTTACTGATGATGTCTGCTTAACACAAGATTACTGACATCATGATGGTGTACAGACTCAAAGGTCAGGTGGAATACATGTTACTTCCCAAATTTGCGAGGTTTAATTTTTTCATTGTATGGTCGTGCTTCTGTACATTCCCAAGAAGAAATTTTCTTCTTTTCTTCGCCAAAAGATGTCAACCAGCCTGTTATATGAAAGTTAATAGCAATCACTGGTGGGGAAATATTTTCGATTATTTTCACTTCACTCAAAACACTTCTGGGGCGACATTTGCTATTGGAAATGAAAATGAATTTTTATGCGAGCTTATCCCTCACATCCCACAAAACGAGCCTCTTCAGTAACTCCTTCCACAGTCCAGGCCTTCTGAATGTAGTTAATTATCTCAAAATAGCATTTGTAACCAAACACAAAACATCCGGGAGCTACAAACTACACTGGTTCCCCGTTTTTTTCCTCTCAGCAGCGAAGATATCCCTTTCCCCAACGCCACACTGCATTAGAGATGCGTACCGAAAGAGCTAACAACGTGGTCCGTGACTTTGTACGCGTTGATAGCAAGATTTAAATGATAACTACTCGTTTATGCAAATATTTATTGTTATACTTTTGAAGAAGGCCGCCTTGGATAGATACTGAAAGTTGCATTCTCCATAAATTCCATTTTCATTTGTATGAATACATGATCACATAAGCCTACATGTGTATGCATGCTCTGAAGTGCTCTGTACATGTAATAGCCGTTTCAGCTTTGAAGCGTATTTCCTTGTTTTACATTATTTAAACAACATTGGTTATTCATTTATCCTGACCAGCGCGATTGTATTACCTAAGCACTTTCTGTCAGCAGACTTGTGTGGGTATTTATTCATAGTCTGTGATCTAGATGTTCTATATTGTGAACGAAGGTTCCCAAAGAGCTTCAGTCGAAAGTCGGCGGAGACCTATTAGTTTAGAGGGCGGAGATGCATTTCAGTGAGACATTGCTGTAGAAATTTAGTACCTGAAGAAAAATTTGAAGCTCGAGGTCTTGAGAAAAAAACAACACAGGTTGGGGCAAACCAATGATTGGTTTGCATGTAATCAAGTCATAAATGGTTGTAAAATGTCCAGGACGATCACCCCACACACTTCCTGCTCGATTGATGGCATTCTATTTGTCAGTATTTTGCCAATACGTAGAATTTTTAAGGTTTTAGAATTAGGCAGCTGGGAATAGACACCAAGTTTGGAAGGAGGATTCTTTAGTGTTGGCTCTGTAATTTGTATTCGCTCAAAAAAAAAAAAACACGCAGAATCGAGCTTGTAAAGGAATAAGAAGGTCGCATAACTTGACTACATAATTTTTTGTAGGTTCTTGAAAATGTGCATAATAACTTGTCACCAAAAATCAACACACGTCTTTTACTGTCTCTTTTCATAAACAATTTTTCACTGGGGAAGTGACCCATTTTGAAACTTTTTAATTCCCCTGCATTTTTGAAACGTACCTGTCATCCTCGTCCTTGGTTACCGTTAAGTCCGTGCACTGTGAACTATAATTTCGGATCCCCGACGCGCGCCTTTGGTGCCAGTGACTAAACGATTTCCTAGATTGAATATCATTTACATCGTCGGAATCCTGCAATCCTTCCACACCGACATGCAAATTGGTACTTTAACGCCTTCGATCGTGTTTGCCACCTGCCAACAATGGCCAGGCCCCGGAATGCCCCGGTAATTTGCAGCCAATTGAGCCTCGAGGATTGATCCTATATGCTGAACAGATTGCTTCATTTCCTCCCTTCGTTAATAAAAAGAAAATAAAGAGAGCAGGGACGTCTGTTCCCCAACGTGGCATGGTTTTCACGCGAACCTCTCTGTTAACCGATTTATTGTTATGTATTCCTAGTTCGAAATGTTCTGCTTTTGTTTCCGTTTGGCACTTAAAATGGAGCCATACCAGTGTTTGGGACCAAGGACGGAGCAGAACCTTTTTGGGGGGCGGGGAATGTTTTTGGGAGGCAAAATGTTTGGAAACTATTTATGTAAATCTGTATGGCTTTTCTCAGGAGTAAAGCTAAATTTATGGACTTTTCAGAGGCTTTTGGAAGGAAGGAAAAGAATATAGATCAAAGAAATGGCTTTCCTCTCATTATTGATTTTTTTTCGTCCTTTATTGGCCATGAAATTAATCGAGCCAAAAGCAAAGAAACGGTTATACGACAATTTCGAAAGTTTTTCCTATAAAAAACGGTGATCAAGAGGCCGGTTTTCCTCTGCAATATAAAAGGAAAATATGAAGAATGTTTGTATTATTCAATTATTTATTTATTTTATGACGTAGCACTAACTGCAGCATATACACTATGGTGTCAGAAGACGAATCTTGATAACGCCACTGGCAGGACGACTATGCAGGACTTCTGTTATGCACGTGCGAGCTGCTTTAGCATTCTGAAGTCGGCTTCCTCCGCCTGCATGCAACCATGCGGGTGCTCGTTGATGCGTTGGAGCTTTGGAATGATAGCGAGGCTTAACGTGCAGAACAGGGTTCGTGTTCGCTATACCGGTAAATGAGATGTAAAAGTCTATCGGAGCAGCCGAAACATGTCAGTGTGGCCTCTCGTTAAACGTATCGTGTAACTAGCGTTTTTGACAATGGAGGATCTGTCTATTATTTTAGATGTATAGATTTTCATAATTTGTATATTTCCATGCCTTTCTATAATGTCACTTGCAGAAGGACGACACAGCTTTATGCAGAGCACGTGCGACGAAAAGGAAAAAAAGTTGTCAGGGCTTCGGAGCCGTTGCTCGTGGAAGTGAAAAAAAAGCATTAACATTTATGAACGAGGGAAAATGAGCAAACATTGCCAGCTGATCGCGACAAAAGAAATGGCATCTGACCTCAAATTCTTGCCGATCGATCCAGCTCATTGCGTCTGTGAGACACAAAAATGGAACCTCAGGCAAATCAACCCGGTATCTGCTAAAGAAAAGGGGAGCATCATTTCGCCAGCCTTGCACGCTCAAAAAAGCCATCGACGGCGCATGCTCTGCAGCGCACGTGTTCGGTGTTTCATAGTCTGCTATCCAGTTCACTCTGTCTTCTGTTAACGCATGTGTGGAGCCAGATACAAATTTCCAAACTGCGTAATAACTGTATTTAGCCCTCATAACAAATTCTAGAGACTAAGTTGTTGGTATCACAGTTTGACTCTGTACTGGTTCTGCTTTGTGTAAACGTCCACGTGGCACTCAAAGAGGGAAAAATAGATAGAGAAGTTTATCCAAATCAAAATCTCCCCGAGTGGAAAAGCCATCGCAACTGGGGTATTCAGGTCATAGTATTCTGGGAATCAACCAGGGAAATATAGCTAGGATGACAAATGAGCCGCCGCGAAAAGGAGCACACTCGACTGGGAGCTTTTGGGCCGCTTACCCGCGGCCGCCGAAAGCGCGGGAACATAGATAAAAAGGAAGGCAAACCACTCCAGCCGAAACGTAGCTATCAGCACCTCCGTCGGCCTGAGCCTTTGAAAGTCGGATTAAAGGCGTTGTTTCGCCTAAAAGCACCAAGCAGAACATCGTCAAGTTAGATATTTACGCGAGCCTGTTTGGAGTTGGATATAAGACATACAAATTGAACCAGTAGCCTAAGACGCCCCAACAATAATCGCAGAAAAGAGTCCGAATTACTTATTACTTCCATCTATATATTATCGGAGGACCGTGC